CCACCTTGTTCTTCTCTTCTCCCTGCACAGACCTGCCATCTGTTGAGGCAATCTCAGAGGTCCTTTTGTCTGGCCTGACAACTGCAGAGAATAGTCCAATTGCTGCAAAGGAATGGGTCTTTTTGAGAACTCCCTCCCAAGGGAGGCTTGTGTCACTTACCCATTGTGGACCTTCCAGAAGCTACGTAGTAAAGGCCTTCCTTTTTTAGGAAGGCCATGAACAAGGTATTTTAATCCTTTAAAAAAATTCATCTTGCTTTGATGTTTCCATGTTTAATGTTTTATTGCAAATTGAAAGGATATTTTACATTTATTAGATTTTTAAAGTTGTTATTTGTTAGCAACACTGAATTCCTAGGAGAAACAGTGGGGAGTATATATGTATATTTAAATACAATATTTTCTGTTTGGCTTTTCTCTCAATGAGTCAGTTTCCATCGTCTGCTCCCTCTGGGCACCTCTTAGAGTAGACTCTGCTACATCTGGGGGAGGTTGGCAGCCCGTGTGTTAGTGGGGCTCTTCATCCATTACAGGTTTACTTTATGAGCTTTATGGGTACTTTATAGGAGCTACCCATGCTGCTGGAGTCCAGCCCCCAAATCTGTTCCCCTGATGGAATATCATGAGTAGCTCCTATAAAACTGGGAAGAAAAGCTGCAGAGGATGAAGAGCCTCACTGACACAGGGATCTCTGGCCTCCCTGGACCCATCCATGAGGCTTTACCCCCAGATCTGCCTGGCACCATGCCTGAGTTCCTGGGCATCACATTCTGCACCTTAAAGTCTCATCCTTGGAGGACCTAGTAAAGGTAGTGCTAGAGAGATGAAGCTGTACTGGGTGAAGGAACTGTGGTTGTAGGCTGGATAATGATTCTGCTTTCAAAACAGAGGGGAAGAGTATCCAGGCAGCCAGTCAGCTTGACATCACTCTCTGGAAAGTCTGTAGAAAAGCAATTAAGTAGTCCATCTGTGTGCATTCAGAAAAGAATACTGTAATTACAAAGAACCAGCATGAGTTTCTCAAGAGCAAGTCATGCCAGTCTAACCTTGTTTCCTTTTTATAGCACTGGTAGAGTTTGGTAGTCTGGTTGATCAGAGAATAATCCAGACATAATAGATCTTGATTTTGGCGAAGCATTCAACAAAGATCCTGTATGACATTCATGTTAAAATGTGGGCTGGATGATGAGGTTGTGAATGGAATTGTAGTTGTCTAATGGAACATACCCAGAGACAAGTAGGCTGCTACAGGATTCTGGTCTGGGTCCAGACAGTGTTGCTGAACACCTTTATAAATAACTTGGATCAAAGAGTAGAGGGGATGCCCATCAGATCTGCAGATGACACCATGCTAGGAGGAGGAGTAGCTGGCAGCTCTTAGACCAGCCTTCTCCAAATTGATGTCCTCCAGATATTTTGATTTTAGTTCTCATCAGTCCCAGCAAGGAATATTAGGAATAATAAATCAGGAGGGCACCAGGCTGAGAACAGCTAACTTGGTGGGATTCAAGTGGGATTCAAGATGGATGACCAACCATACATGTGGAAAGGAAAGAGTGTTTTAACAGATACAAGTGTGAGTAGAACTAGCATGGCAGCTCAAAAGGCTGAAGCAATTCTAGGCTGCATCGACAGAAGTGAAGAGTCCAGATCACAAAATGTAACTCTACCAGTCTGCTTTACTTTTGCCACACCTCACCTGGAGTATTGTGTCTGGTTTGGTCACTGCAGTGTAACAATGAACAACTTGGAATATGTCTGGAAGAGAGAGATGAAGATAATGAGGAAGCTATAAACTTAGGTTCTGTCAGGAAATCTCAAAGGTGTTTGGTTGTGTTTCATGTGGAGAAGAGATGATTAAGTGATAAGATGATAGCAGTCTTTCATTGCTATCAAAAGGCTGCACAGAGATGATGCAGCATTTTTTTCTTGCTCTAGAGGGAAGGATGTGAACCAACAGGTTCAAATGACAAAGAGAGAATGCTAACTAAATTTTAGAAAGATCTTTCCAATGGAAGATGCATTTGGATGCCTTCATTAGAGGTTTTTAAAGCAGAACTTGATGTGAATGTTGTGTTACTGGATGTTCTGCATCAGTTTCCCTTAACTGTGTTTCTGGCCAAAGCAGACTTCTCTGCAACTAGCAGCTATATCTTTTTCATTTTTACTCTGAGTTGGTGCAGGACCCCCAGATCACATCATAAAAGTACCTTATCTGGATTGGTCCTCTGTTGCTACTGTAGAGTAAAAAAAGGAAGGAGAACAGCAATACATCCAGTTTGGTCCTCTGTGAACTTGCTTAAGGCTTTTTTTTGGATCAACTCTTGAGAAGAGGAAGGCAGCCCTAAGAAAACTCAGAAGGGTTTTCAGAGCTTGGAAATGCAGGAACCTAATTCTCATCTCTCTTTCAGGGCCTTCGTTCTTTTCAAACCCTGTCTATCACTCCAAGCAACGAATAACATCTATCAATTTTTCTTGTAGCAGCTGTGCTGCATCATTTATCTTCAGGTATCCTTTGTTCAGCATCAGTCTTCAGAGTACCCATCTATCTGGTCCTTCGCTTCAGCTATACCATACTCTGATGTGAAATGGTTTTTCTTCTTGCTAAAACTTGTTTGAAACCCCTCCCCACTCCACCACCACTAGTGCAAAGAACCAGTGGCATCATTTGCTAGGAAATAGTTAAGGAACAATTTGGCTTTAGGACATATAAGTAAGGTCTTTGGAAGCAGCGAATCACCCAACGTTCATTCCTTACTGCAGAAACCCTTCTTTAAAATAGGAGTAATTCCCTTGATATCAGTGCTGCCATCAAACACAAACAGGGATAAGAATGAAGAATAGCAGGAATTGGAGTAAGCTCTTAAAAATGTGGGGAGGAAAAGGCCTAACATGCTCTGAATCCTGACACTAGTCCACAGGCTAGTGGAAATGATTTTGTGGGCCACATGTGATATGTAGCAGGTGATGCGCTTGCCCCTGCTTTCACGCTCATATGCTTAGTGTGTGTCTGTTGGTTTGTCTGTCTTTCCTTCCCTTTAAAGGGGAGATGGGTTTGATGAGGTGGTTTTGTATTTCAGAGGCAGAAGGCAAGACTTGACCAGCTGGTATCTTGAACTGACACAGGTGCAAGAACTGCAGGGGGTAGGATCCAAGAATAATTATAGGTTTCTGAAGCATCAGGCCTTGCCTGAGAGGGGGCTTGCAGAGAAACTGTTCTATATAGAAAATTAATGATGAAGCTCAAAGATTGTCAGGACCACTATGGTCATCATAAGAGGAGCAATGCCTTAAAGGGACAGCTCCCCCTCATCTTCTCCACAGGAAGTGAGGAGACCAAGCACAGCATTTTAATGTCCGTGCAATAGAGATTTCTTGTGACTGGTACTATTTGTGTGTGTGCGTGTGCATGTGTATGCAAATCTCCTTTCTAGCTAACCTATGGATTCTGTGCTCTATATTTAAAGTGTGAGCCAATGTTTTTTCTTCTTTGGGGCAGAAAGTAAACCAAGGCCAAAAACTGGCAAATATTTCACTCAAGTGCCAAACAGGAAATACCACCCAAATATTCTGCTTGAACTTGTGACAAAAAAAAAATCGTGCTCATTGGCTATCCATGAGTTTTCTAAGTGTTAACAAATCCTGTTTTCTGATAAACTTTTTGCATGTGGCAGAAAATATAAAAGGATGACCCACATAAATGGAGATACCCAGGCCTTCATGTACCCCGTTTGCCTGCTCTGATGGCCGTGCATTCGCATGCCTTTTTCATTCACCAGGCAGGGGCCTTGGCAGCTCCTCCTGCACCAGTCTGCTTGAAAAAGGCACATGAGCCTTTGGCCCAAAGCAATCTGGCTTGCATTCCAGGAAATCTTCAACCTTGTGTTCTTTCCCACAGATTCGAAGGCTTCCTATATTTGCTACAGTGCAGAAATGTTCACATGTTATGCTTACCTCCCAGTTCAGCTTGTTTTTGAAATGCTGACTGGGGCAGGGAGAAAGTTCACTGTTTCTAAGTTTCTGGCCCAAAAAGAGCACAACTGCAGAATGGAAGGAAGGCCTAGCAACATGGGATGGAAACAGCTTGTGTATTTATAATGAAATGCAGATGCTGATGACCCAAGTTTGCAGGGCAAGCAGCCTTGTTGGATCAGTGACTTGGATTTTTGGTGGATGCTGTGCCACATTAAGGCCTGAGCATTTTGAGTCATTCTAGCAGTGTGGATTGTTTAGTTTAGCTGTTCTGGTGTTCTTGTTTTCTCTTTATCCTTGTGGATAGAAGGTCATCTTGGGGAGTGTGGCTTCAGTTGGGGAATGATAAGAGGGAGAGGGTTAAATGGGGCCCTCACCTCACAGTTCTTCTATTGAACTTGCAGCTTGCCAAGACTGCTTTGGGTTTAAAAAGTTGAGAAAGGTTTGGGCCCTGGCCTGAGCCTGTTGTCAGCTGCATTCCTTACAGCCTAAGGTGCATCTTGTACCAGGATGATTGGAACAACATTTAATCTGTATTTATTTAAAGTATTTCTTACTTTCTCTGTCTACTAAAAGTATCCAAGGTGGCTAATAAAACAGCTTTTCCTTTGCAGCTATGCAAATATTTGGGAGATTGACTCAGAAGTGATCCTGGAGCACTCTCCTAACATTTGGGGGTTGATTTGTAAGTGGTTGCTCCTTTGGTTGCTAAACAACCGCAAAGTGCCTTCCGTTTTCCTGTTCCATCCAGCTTTTTCCTCCTCAACAATTCAGATATTTCAAAATTACAGAAATCTTGGCAATTAGTGCAGAAGTGATGCTGGCCATTCTTATTTTGTGGAAAATTTCACTAACCTTAATCTTTGCGCCATGGATAATTTCTGCCTCCTTCCTTTTCTGATGTTTTGGCTTGGCTTCATGTTATCCCCACAAAGAGGAGCTGTCATGCTTTTCTCTTTGTTTCTCAGCAGCAGCTTTTGCTCATTTGACTATCTAATGATGGCTTGTTTCTGTTTATGTCTCTGCAGACATGCCTTGAGCTGGAACGCTATCTGCAGACGGAGCCCAGGAAGATCTCAGAAAGCTTTGGTGATGACTTGGACTGTTTTCTGCACAGCTCCTCAGCTCCGGGGGCAGAAGACAGAATGCAGCGGCTGGACCACCTCTTGCTACCAGTAGACATGAGTACTTGTGACAAAAACACCACCATGGATGTTATCCTCTCACGGGACAAACTACTGTCTGAGACTTGCCTCAGCTTACAGCCCACCAGCTCTTCTACAGAGGGCTTCACTACCGTTAACCAGGCGCAACTCAACGCAGTGACCTCACTAACACCGCCGTCTTCCCCTGAACTCAGTCGCCATCTTGTAAAAACCTCACAGACTGTCTCTGCCTCTGCCTTGGATGGCACAGTTACACTGAAACTAGTGGCAAAGAAATCCACCCTCAGCTCAGTCAAGGTTGGTGTGGTAGTGCCAGCTAGCACAACGAAGTGTGCACTCAGCGACAGTGAGCAAGGAGGGGCAGGTGCAGATGCTTCCCCGGAAAACAAGAAGAGAGTTCATCGCTGTCAGTTTAATGGGTGCCGGAAGGTTTATACAAAGAGCTCACACTTAAAAGCCCACCAGAGGACTCACACAGGTACTTGTCTTGGATGCTCAGGTCTCATTTGTCAAACTTGCTCCTTTTGTTCATTGTATGTTCAGAGCTGAAGTCCCTAGGTGACAGTTTTGGACCTTGGTTCCAGGAAGCAAGGTGTTTCAGGAAAGATAGGAATGTTCTCTTCTTACTCATTTTTACAAAGGGCGTTCAATGTATTCTCAGCATCAGCATGAAGAAAAAGGAATAATCAATTGAAATAATTTTTATTTTTCAATGTAATCCCCCATAACTTCAATACACTTATTACATCTAGAAATTAACTTTTCAATTCCCTGTAAAAAATACCCTTCCTCCTTGTCTAAAAAAAAGTGCGTTAATTGCCGCCTTGAGCTCTTCATCGTCGGAAAATCGCTTTCCATGAAGATCTTTGTTTAAATTCGGGAACAGGTAGTAGTCACTGGGGGCCAGGTCCGGGCTATAGGGTGGGTGGTTTATTTCTTTAAAACCACAGTCTCGCACAGCAGCCTTTGAAACACACGCCGTGTGAATGGGCGCGTTGTCGTGAAGAAGCAACACACCTGCAGTCAGTTTTCCCCACCTTTTTTCTTTAATTGCTTCTCTTAAATTACGCAGAGTGATTGCGTAAGATGCTGTGTTTATGGTTTCACCTTTTTCGTGTACTCGATCAATAAAATTCCCTTTGAGTCCCAAAACACTGTGGCCATGATTTTTCTGGCCGATGGAGTGACTTTGAATTTCTTCGGAGGGTCAGCACCCTTTTTATGCCACTGCATGGACTCCTGCTTACTTTCAGGGTCACAGTGATGAACCCAAGTTTCATCTCCAGTAACAATCTGGTCGAAAATACTTGATGGATCTTTACCGCTGAGCTCTACGAACTCCCTATAGCACTCGACTCGCACTTGTTTCAGTGGTGCCATGAGCATTCGTGGCACCCATCTTGCACAGACCTTTGAAAGTTTAAGATGGTCATGAAAAATAGTAAATATGGTACCAATGAATAGGTTTGTCATCTCTGCTAACATTTTGGTTTTTATTCGGTCATCTTCCAATACAAGTTTCTCAATTTTTTTCACATTTTCTTTTGTAGTGGCAGTAACGGGCCCGCCCCAGCGAGGGTCGTCTTCAATGCTTTCGCTGCCCCTTTTAAATTCACTTGACCACTTTTGAACAGTAGATAATGAAGGTGCAGAGTCCTTGTAAATGGCCACCATCTCTTCGTGAATGATTTTTTGACTTTTTCCTTGTTTTGTAAGGAACTTAATCACAGCGCAGTGCTCGATTTTCTTCAACATTGTTGCGTCAGTCATTATGGTTGTCTTTCACTGAGGATTACTAGGGAACTAACGATCACACTTATTTGAAATTTTGCATGTATACCCTCAGATAGTGTCATTAGCTAATGAAATAATTAAATTGCCCACATCAATAGCAAATCAACCCGATACCAAGAATACATTGAACGCCCCTCGTATCAGTTCTCATGCTTTCCTACATTTAATGGCTTGCACACCACAATTTCCAAAAGCACTGGGGATACTAAGAATCATACAAGCTGTTTTATGTGAAAAGTTTTCACCAGAAGGGTTGCTTTTGGCCGTTAGTGTGTGCTAACTAGGTTGCATTCCTGGAATGTGGAAGTCATGTCCAGTGCAGCATATATTCTCTCCACGGGCGATATAGCTTAATGCAGCAGGATCAATGCACCAGGGCTCCAGTCAGCCAAGGGCTGGTGTTAGATGGTCTTTGTTTCAGATCTGGTTTGTAATTCTATGAGTTCTTTGGTGGAATTAGTTGTAGATAAAAGAGAAGGCTGTATCCTTACCAGTTTAGCTTTTTAATAGCTCCCCCATGCAGTTCATGTAGAGAAATCTCTGGATTTTAAAGGAAGCCCTTGAAGAACTACCTTCAGACCAGTTTTCAAAAGAAATACAAACTTCAAAAGAACTGTGAGGCATCTTAGTTCTCATTTAACATGGTGACTGGATGCTCTGTTCTTATAATACATTTTGTTAAATGTTACATGGAGTGCTTCATCTGTTGGCTGATTCCTTTCCTCACACCAGGTTTTTATGACCAGGAGGCTCTTAAGTTACTCTGAACTAAAGGCTTTGTAGAGACCCACAACACATTTATATTGCTTGGTGCCAGGTACTTTAATTGGTGATGCAGAATAGAAGAGTGTACAGTAAGTGTTCTGTGATTTGTGTACATGAAAAGTGAAGCTCATAAAGATGGGGTGAGCACTTGAATGGGGAGCACAGAAATGTAGGTCCCCTGCCACCACGACTCAAAGAATTGTGGTCCCTCTCATGCCAATCCAGACGCTTAGAATGCATCACAGTTTTAACACATGCGTGTGCATACACGCGTGCGCGCACAGAGAGAGAGAGAGAGAGAGAGAGAGAGAATTCTCCCTCCTGTTGCAAACAGTAAATAATTTCCTTACCAGTGAGGAAGGGTGACTTGTGTGGGGTGGGGTTCAATGTCCTGGGCAACTTTTGTCGTGTGTGTGTGTTTGTAAAGTAGGAAAACTTTAAAAATGTGTAATTTGATTCCACAATCTTGGGATATTTATTCTGGGATTTCTCTTCCTGGGAATTGCTGTTACCTCTCAGTAGGATAATTTCTTATATTTGGAAAAGCTCTCAGAAGTTATTTGTTAATAATTACAAGGAAAAACTGAGGTAGTTTTTGCAATATTCACTCATTCCTTTAAAGGTGTTTGCTATTGAATGCTAGTTTTGCATCATCATCATCATCTCTATAATGTCTTAAATGCTGCCCAGTCTTTTTCTTAATTTTGATCAGAGATGTAACCTTGCAAAGAAATAAAGTATTTTGTCCAAAGCACCAAAATCTATCACTGATCACAAATTTTAATCCAGATAGCCCAGTATATTTGCCAGTCCAGAGTCTCTTTCCAGAGAGCTTTACATTTGTATATTTATTCAGAGTATCAAGCTAGAAAGTCTGCTTTCAGACATTCAGGGAAGCATGTGGTATAGACCTTTCAAGTAACTGCCCTCTTAGTATGCACAAGGGGAATTGCTTGCTTAAAAAAACGGCCAGTGTTACAGTCTCCTTAAGCAGCCAAACATGTCTTGTCTGTTTTGGGGTAATACAGCCCTCCCCCATTTTTGCATCATATCTGTGTTGAGCTCTCCTGTTTTACTCTGTAATCCTTTATTAACAGTATTTCCCAAAATAATATTATTACTAATAACCATAATTGTCCAGCTGACTAATGTCTGTTCTCTTTCTCAGCTTCTCTTGTGAGGCTAATATGAATGTTGCTTTCAAAGGAACCGCTAAGTCACTTTCCTCAGTTCTGTTGTCTCTTCTCAGTTTTGAATACTATCTTCTCTTCTCAGTTTTGAATACTAATAGTGTGGTATTAAAGCCATTATCTTAACTTCATAAGCATCAGCAAAGTTACTGGAGATGTTCCACCAAGACTGAATGCTTGGACAAGTGGAAGAAATAGAATGACCACGTGTAGTACAGTGGCTTAGTAGCCCTGGCTTACGTCCTGCGCTCAGCAAGTCATAGCTACCTAAACCATGGTTTAGCATGATGCCTGAATTCAGCACTAGGTGCATCTGTCTGGATTTGCTCCTAGTGCTAGCCTGTCATATGGATTGATGAATTCTGGGCTGTCACAGTATACAAATACTAAAGCCATGGCTGGTTAATCATGAACAATCCAGAAAGGGAACCCATGATTTATTGTTGGATTGTGAACTTATGGGTTGTTTAAACCACAGGTGATTGTTATGTGTAAAATCAGAATCATGTATTGTGCATGAGTTGTCACCAGGCTGCAGAGATGGCAGGCAAGAGTGCAAAAAACAGGAACAAGCAAAAACAGTTGCTTGGCACTTGCCACATGCACGTGGGCCAATGAGGGGGCGGGAGTGGTGCATGTGGGCGCATGGACTGAGGTCGGGGCGGGGCGGGGCAGGGGAGGCTCATGAGGCAGCGGCTTACTTGCTTGGAGATCATTTTCTCTGAGCGAGCAAACTGCTGCCTCCCTGCATGTGGGGTGAGCAGCAGGCGAGCGCATGGGCACAGCGGGTCCAAAAGAGCATGACAGGCTGGATAAATGAGCATGGTGGGCCGGATCTGGCCTCCGGGCCTTAGATTGAGGACCCTGATTTAACCATATGCTGGGTGTGCTGGTGTAGTAAAAATCGTCTGTTATTCTGCACAGTGCATTTGTGGATAACATTTCCATCATTTGCACACAGGTGGTTTTGAAGACTTGTTCCAAAATTATCTCCCATTTTTCTCTTTTCCTCCTACACCCCCATTCTTGCCAGTGATTGGTCAAAATGGAACCTCTGTAATGCAGTTGATTAACTGTTTTTCTGATCCTCGTACTTCAAGCACTTGGAGAGGTTTCATTTTAGCATAAGCTGATTACGTACTACACACAGGTATGCTCAGGATACCCTGAACCATATTCAGTGTTGTGGAAATTATTAGCATGGTGTGGAGTATTTTGGCAGAGGTTGTAGGTTTGCTACTTGACCGTTTCTCTCAAGTTTGCTATTTTTGGACCTGGAAATGCAGATCCATCTGGCAAGCACTTTTGTGCCATGTGCTGTTACCTCCTTGTAACATGCTTTGGTCTGTATTCTGTGGATTGATCTGAGAACAGTTTGTCGTGAGAGCTTGGGGATGAGAGTACATGGACATTTTGCTATGTGCTGGTGCTCTGATTCTGAGGCTGCACAACTGCTTCAGATCAAATCTAGACTTCCTGGCAGTGATCAACCTGCAGTGGTCAGGCTGTAGGTCAGAGTTAGACGGCAGCTGACTTAGAAGATCTGCTTTGTTACCCACTAGAATGTAGGTCCACCATCTGGAATCAGGTCTCAGAAAACAGGTTCAGGGAGGCAGATGCTCTCCTAGAATGAAGGGTCTGCTCAGCTGAAGATTTTGCTTTCAGTTTCAAAATTAAATTCACAGGGTTTTTCCACAGAAACATTCCTCTCAAGCTTTCTTCATTTCCA